TTTATTTATGTGTGTGTGTGGGGGCAGCTCAGCCCACCAGGGGGCGGGGCTGGCTGGCATGTGGTGCTGGGGGATTGAACGTGGTCCCTGTGCTTTGCTAAGCTTGTTCTAAGTAGGTGCTTTAGACCACTGAGCCATCTCACCAGCCCCCTAGGGCCTTACTATGTAGTTCTGGCTAGCGTCAAACTTGAGCAATCTACTCGCCTCAGTCTCCCAAAGTGCTGGTGTGTGCCACCACACCTGGCTTTTTTTTTTTTTCCCCATGCCTGGCTCTTACAAGATTTAGTTGGTCTCCTTTTAATGTTCTACCACCCATAGATGAATAATGAAAAAACTTTAAACACAGTATTTTAAAGTTGTCAACCTGATACACACAGAACTAATTATTTCCATATAGGAGCTATAAAGCAAGTTTTGCAAGCATGCTGACATGTATCTATAATCCCCACACTCGGGAGGTTGAGGCAGGAGGATTGCCACAATTTCAAGGCCAGCCTGGGTTTAGTTCAAGGCTAGTATGAACTACATAGCAAGAGCTCATCTCAAAATCAAAAATAATAAAATTTAAAAACAAACAAAAATCTCCCCCAATTTTTTTTTAAAAAAGGTTAAAACTAAGGGCATAAATATTATTTGGCACAAACTGTTGGCTTTTGCAATGAAGAGGAATTTGTAAACCTTCCTGTAGTTCTTAAAAGTTTACCATTCTTTTAAGATTAAAAGACTCTAAGAACACATAAAGCTTCCTAAAACAACAGGAAAAGCGTCCTAACATCTATCATCACTATATGAAGCACATATGGTGAGTTATAGAAAATCCATACTTACATGATTGCAGTCTGAGGATATTTCATTTTCAGGCTAGAAGGAAAGAAAAGACAAGATGCTTTAAAAAAAGAAAAAAAACAATAAGTTCAGACATGTCACAATTTCAAGTATCATCATGATAAATGCAAAACAAGAAATCTGGATATGTAATTGGAATATATTTCCTCACTATGGGGAATAAAATGGCACTTCTGTATCTTTTAGATGCTGAGAAGAAATGTTCCAGAAAGTACATGTGAGCCACAACCCCCTCCTAGTTTATGGTACAAACTGGAAAACAGAAAGAACAGAGCAAAATTTACAAAAGTAGTAACAATGTAAGGACACTTTACTTTGACCTGATACTTTCCAATTTTATGCTGTTTTGTTTTGAGACAAGATCTTGCTGTGTAGTTCAAGCTGGCCTTGAACTCACTACACAGCCCAGGCTGGCCTCGAATGCCTCAAACGTGCAGCAATTTTCCCACAGCTTCCCAAGTGCTGGGATTACACTTAGGTGCCCCCACGCCAGCTATAGTCCCTTTTAACCTACTTCAACTTTCCAATCAATCAGCCATTCTAGTTCTTCCTCAAATAATGCATGAAAGGCAGCATCACAATCCTCTGTTTGGACAGATTTCTATTAAAACAGTAAGTTTGGCTAAAAGGGGCATTTTTAAAAGAAATCTAGAGCACTGGAGAATTTTTTTTTAAATGTAGTCAAGATGAAAATGCTCATCTTTGTAGCCCACAGGAAGTACATTAGCAATCAATGATGGTGCTAGTGGCTTGCTCCTGTAAGAGGGAAGACTGGATTACTTCTTGCTTTTCACTCTCAGAGGATTTGAACACCAGCTCTACTGTCTAACCCTTTGAGGTTTGTCTGCCTCCAGCTGAGAATGGACGTATGGCTGGACCACTGAAGGTGAGCGAGGTCACTGACTGACTCTGGCCAGTGCGATTTTAGTAAACACAGCACTTAGCAGAGGCTTGACATGCTTGGGAGGTATGGCTTAAATTTTCGCCCTCCTGTCTTTCCCCAGGAGAAGAACAGGTGCAGGCAACTGGTAGTACAAGGAGAAGGAGAGACATGGGAACATCGGAAGGCAACCTGCTGCCAGGAGCTCAAATAATGTACACAGCCATGGGCAAGAAAAATAAAATGTCAGTATGAGCCACTCAAATTTGAAAGTTTATTATATGAAAAAAAAAAAACCAAATATACCTATCAGGCAAATAAAATAAATTTTTAAATCCCCAAATCTTAAATTGTAATTGGTAACAGCTTTGATTTAAAATTAGTGTTCTGGCCAGGGAGATTGCTCAATAGAATAAGCACTTGTCTGGCAAGTGCAAGGTCCTGAGTTTGACCCCTGGTGCAAATAAATAAATAAATAAATAAATAAATAAATAAATAAATAAAAAATTAGTGTTCTATCAGTAGCTATAGCATACTAGTTTTTCTGAAGGAATAACATAATCAATCCACAGAGATACCAACTCCAAGTTTTGAATGCTTTTCATTTCTTTTGATGTCCTGATTTGCAACTGACTAGAAAAGGTTTTTGCACTTTCTTTCTATATTTAGTTCCTCTAGAAAAATAAGAACTGAAAATGTCATAAGAACAAGGTTGCAGGCTGGAGAGATGGCTCAGTGGTCTAAAGCACCTACTTGGAACAAGCTTGGCAAGGCATCAGGGACCGCGGTTCAATCCCCCAGCACCACATGCCAGCCAGCCCCGCCCCCTAGTGGGCTGAGCTGGCCACACACCTCTCTCTCTCTCTCTCTCTCTCTCTCTCTCTCTCTCTCTCTCTCATAAATAAAAAAGAACAAGGTTGCGATGTTAGGCTTCTGCAGTTTATGAAACTACTTAGCTATTGTCTTTAGAGTCAAAGAACACAGCAGTGATGAAGCAAAACAGTACAGAGCCCTGCAAAATACAAAACACAAAGCAGTATTTTCTTTCTTTCTTTCTTTTTTTTTTTGATGGAACCGGGGATTGAACTCAGGCCCTTGCACTTGCCAGGGAAGCGCTTATTCCACTGAGCCATCTCCCCCGGTCCCACAAAGTAGTGTTTTATACAACTTTGGCAACAGTGAGAACATCAATGCCAACACAAATTAATTAGAGAACGCATAAAAAGAAAATACTCAGTGATGAATGTAATCATTATGTATATCTAAAATGTACCAATAAAATCTGATTAAAAATAAAATGCTATGGTTGAGCACTTGGCTGCCTGATACGGAATTAAAGGATAGAAGCCTCAGGCACAGAACATGTGGTGCCAACTCAGGCGGTTCTCAGAAGGCACCATTCATTCCCCTGATGTCCAAATCAAATCACTTCATCAAAAATAATGTATCTACTCCTCTCAAACTGTAAATGTGTATAGGCTTGATTATCTCTAATCCTGGAAGAACAGTACACCCAGACTTATTATGGCAGACTGAGGTTAAGAAATTTTTTTCTTTTGCTAATAATCAGCAAAAGACAGCTGGATGTGGTGGCACATGGCCTGTAATCCCAGCCAGGGGAGACTCGGGCAGGAGGACTGCTGCAAGTGGGAGGCCAGCTTGGGCAATGAAGTGAGTTCAAGGCTAGCCTGAACTGCATAGTGAGACCTTACCTCAAAGGGGGGGTAAAAATCAGTGAAATAATACTTAGACATGATTCCAAGAAATAAATCAACAATTATGTACCCACAATTGTGCTAGACATTGTTGCAGGATACAAAAGAAACAAAAGATCTTATTATCTAGTCTCCAACTTGAGGTATTTTACAATCCAGTTGCATAGCTAAATAGTGAAATCAACACTAAAGCAGGTAAAGGAACATGAGGCAGGCCTACACGTAGACAGAAGACTGAGCTCCAGAAAGTGCTATGGGGGCTGCTAAAAAAGGAAGCTTCATGAACCCGCCAGGGCTCAGGAAAAGAGCTGCTGCTGCCGTCCTTCAATTTACTTTATATTTTAAAGTATTTTTAAATATCTGCAATATTGAAGTAATCTCCATTTTATGAATACACACACACACACACACACACACAGAGGTATGCATGCTTCTTCTTTTTTTCTTTCTTTCTTTTTTTTTTTTTAATGATAATAAGAACAGGATCAAGACAAGATTAAGACCTGAAATCCTTCTAATCAGTTTAGGATTGCTATCAGACCCCTCCCCACAAATCAGAGGCAAAGTGTTGGCTCCCAGCCCAGAGATGCATCAAATTAGAAGCTGAGCCAAGCTGCCTTATTGGCTGTGCTTTAATCACACTGGAGCTAGAGATCTTGGGCTTCCAAAAGAAGGCTCTCTTACCTGAAGTGTTACTCCTTGTAACCACCCTCTTACGATGGGAAGTTGGGCAGAAATTTCATTAGAAGTTTCATAAGCCAGGGCCAGTGAGATAGCTCAGTGGATGAAGTGCTGGCTTTGGCCAAGTGCAGGGACCCGGGTTAGATCCCCCTGTCCCTGTATGCCACCCCAGACCCACTCCTTGGGCACACTGAGTCAGGTGAATGTGTTCCTGAGAGTCCAGGCTTGGTGGTACACGCCTGTAATCCCAAGGCTGGGGAGGCTGGAAAACAGCTGGCTCACTACGAGTCTGAGCTGGGTAGTGAGACCCTGTAACAAATACATACATGAAAAAAAAAAGTTTCATAAATCTGTTTTTTTGGTTTTTGTTTTTCTGCATTTAGGACAGGGTCTACAGGGTCTCACTACACAGATCGGACTCAGACTCACAGTAATTCTCCTGTTTTCAGCCTCCCAAGCATTGGGATTACATATGCGGGCCACTACGCCCACTCTCAATCACTGTCTCAGCGAGCCCTGCGGGCGGAGCCGGCAGAGCACAATCTCTGGCTGCTTTAGTCCGCTGAGCTATCAGGATGGTCCTGTTCTCTTATTTTTTATGTATTTAGGGTCTCACTAAGTAGATCAGACTTGTAGTGATTCTCCTGTTTTCAGCCTCCCAAGTGCTGGGATTACAGGTGCTCGGGCCACCACACCCAGTCTCAATCACTGTCTTAGCATGGGCACACGGGGGATCGAACCCTAGTCGCTTCACTCACTCTGCCTAAGCAGGCGCTTTAGTCCACTGAACTATCTGGCTGGCTCTAAATCTGTTACTTTAATGATCAAATTTTATAGAAGAAACTACTGAGGCTGCATGTATTAGCACCAATACAGAAACTATTAAGAACAGAGGAAAAAGAGGATCTAACATGCTTCTCTGCCTCAATACATGTGACTTAAAACAGAAGGAATTTAGTTGATGCTGTATAAATGACACACAGTACATGAGACAATGGCACACTGAGTACTTGGACACACTTGCCTGACTCCAATTAAGAATATGATGGGTGTGGTGGGACATAAAACTGTCACTTAACTAAGCCAGACACTACACTTATTTCTTACAACAGGAGACTGCAAAACAGATGGGGTTGTGTTCAATTTTATAGATGAAGACACTGAGCAACCTGATCAAAGGTGCACTGCCAGGAGACAATAAAACTGGGACATACACTGATGACAGAAGACAACTTAAGCTTATTTGATACGTTCTGATTGCGGCATCCCCCAAAAGGTGGGACAGGCAGTACCGCCTGACTGTGCACAACACAAAGGACTCTGAAAAAACAAGAAAAGGAAGGAGACATGACAAACACTTAAACTTGTGCTCTAGAGTGATATATCTGACAGCTACACCATGATTTAGATGTTGGCAGTCCACATAAGAAAATGATGAAGCAATGAGATATACTGTAGTAGTAGGGGATCTGAATTAG